GGGAGTTGGTTCTCTCCTTCCACTGCTTGGGTTCCCAGGATCAAACTCAGGTCATCAAACTTTGCAGCAAGTGCCTTTACCTTTTGAGTCATCTGGCCAGACCTCAGGTTTTTGAGTCAGAGTCATATTACAGTCCTGACTCTTAATCTAAAAACAAACAAACAAACAAAAAAAACCAAAAAACTCTCCAACTTCTGCCTTCTGAACTCTGGGTTACAAACCTGATCCTTCTGTCCCTTTAGATAATAGTGTTATTTCTTTGTAGGCTCAGTGAGGTGTGGGGATTGGGACTTTTGTGAAGTACATGTTCCAAGCTGCAAATTTCCTCCCTGGGACGGAGAGAATGTGTTATCTTTCTCCAAGTTTCCTGTGAGAAGCAAGCTGTGCAGTGTTCTTCTGAAGCAGGGAGATACCTGCTCACTGGTCTCTGGGTTCTGCTCAGAGGATGGAAGGATGATAGAAGAGGGAGGATAGAAGAGGGAGGATGGAGGGAGGATGGAAGAGGAAGGATGGAGGATAGAAGGAGGATGGAGGATAGAAGAGGGAGGATGGAGGATGGGCACCACACACTGTTCAATCCTTCTTGCCACTCTTGTACCCAGAAAAGTCACTTATTCATATGGGGTTTGAAATCAACTTCATCCCTGGGAGCCACAAGATTTTGAGATCCAGCTTTTCCTTGGCTTTGGTAGTTTGTTCTTCCTTTGAGGACGCCAGTGCTAGGGGATGGGCGAGCCTTTTGACATGTTTTCTCTGTTCTGAGACTCCTGCAGAACCCACAGCCTCATTCTCAAGTCATAGGCTCAGTAGGCTTCTAGTTACTGACTACTGCTATTTCCTTTATATTTAACTGGGTGGCCTAGGCATCATTATCAGAATGTCAAAGGAAGAATAGGAAGACAATGAGAAGGGGGAAAAGAAGGCAGGACAGCATGACACAAGACCTGAGAATTGGTTCTGAGTTCCAAAACATTGCCTAGTGTCCCCTCTGACGCCCCTTCAACTTTCTACCTGTCCAGTTTTATGAGGTTGTACACTAATGGGGTCTGTATTTCTGGATTTACTGGTTTTATGTCAGATCAAACACTTGGCCTCTGTTCCAGGATGGTTTCATTCCTATATTTCTCAAGGGAGAAAATAAAAAAGCTATCTTTTAACAGAGTGGTCACATCAGGGCCCTGGTGCCAACATGTATATCTTTCTGAGCCTTGTAGTCTAGTGAAAACGCCACACACATTCTGCTTCCTGTGGTCAGTATTTTCCTTCTTTAGATGTATGTATCTATGTGCATAGGATCTGTGTGTATGTGTGCCCATACACCACACACATGCATGCACGTGCACACCACACACAACCTGTGTAAGATGTTGGGCTTGTCTAAATGTACTGATAGAGCCCAATTCAACTGCTTTGTAAATAGTACCTGAAGAGGTGACCTGAGAGTTCCTAGCGACACCAGGGAATGAGGAAAAGAATCTTCTCGTTGATGAGCAAATAATTCATTCACATAAAATCAATCATGAAAGCAGTCCACCAATGGACCCCCAATGGGAACTAGTTGACCCCTCTGTCTACACTGGTCTGTGTCCTAGTGTAAGGTTGGAAGCTTCAGTCGAGAGCCTCTCTTCCCATAGTTTGACATCCAGTCATTGCAGCTGGACCTATGACTTGTGAATGTGAAGTTCTGTGTGTGTGTGTGTCAACTGCCATCCCTTGTGGGCCGAGTTCACAGTGATGAGAAAGTCACGAGATCACTAGGTGCACCAGCTCTGTTCTGCTGACCAAAAAGCAACCTGGTAGTTGGGGGCAAGGATTTATCTGGCTCATACTTCCAGGTCCAATCTGTTATTGAGGGAATTCAGGGCAGAAACTCCAGAAATTTGACACAGCAACCATAGAAGACCAGTACTTGCAGGCTTAATCCCTGGCTCCTGCTCAGTTGGCTTTTTACATAACCATAGGACCACAATGGGCTGGGCCCTCCTGCATCAATAAACATGACAATCCCTCATAGATGTATCCATGACCAACCTAATCTAGGCAAACCCTCGGTTGTGGTTTCTTCAGATTTCTGGCTGTGTCAATTAACAAGTAGATGCGCAGGTCTGTATGCTATTTATTGTACTCTTGCAGTCGTATCTAACCTGGCTAGCACCCATCAGAAGAACCTTAGGAGACTTGAAACCTTAGATTGACTGAAGTAGTCTCCGAGCTGTTGAAACATAGGTTCTATTCCTGATGGCGGGGTTGTCCACTGCGCGTATGTCTTCTCAGGCCCTCACTGGTGAACCTTTGTTTCTGTGATTGCTTAGGATCGGAGAGAAATTTCTAGTGCACACCTGCATAAAACATGTGTATAAGTAATATATAATTATGCCACTGGCATCCCCAAACCATATGGTTCACTCCTAGCCATTGGCCAATTACCACATGTCTTTCTTTTACAGGATGCAGAAATAAAAAACAAAGAAGAAACATTTGTTTCAAAGCCGCTCCCTGTCATTGGAGGTGACATAAAGGCTGGAATTTTAATTACAGATGAGGGTACCATTCTCATTAGCCAGTAACTAGGCCCTTGGCTACACATGCATTACTTTAGGAGGAGGAAGTAGAAGAACTAAAAAGGGGTGACTAAAGGGGGCATCGTGTGTGATTATAAGAATTTAAAAATATTTGAAAGCTACAAAAAAAAAAAAGGATCATTTGCACACAGGTAACTGTAGACTCTAGAAGTTAGGAAGAACCTC